TACTGGAATTAAAAACATGAGGGTCGACAGCAGACAGACAGTGTGTGTGTGGGGGGGGGGTAGCTTGGAGATGGGATCACATTACCTAGACAAAGGTTGCTGACAAAGAGGAACCAGGCGCAGGCCCTAGGTAACCCCACCATGTGGAGTGAGACCAAAGAGCAACAGAGACCTGGCAGTTTCAGCCCAGGGGTAGAGGGTAGAGGCAAACAAACAGGAAAGGAAAGTGGACATTGTGGGCTTGGACATATATTTTAACATGTCTTGAGGAGACGGGGAACAGAGAAGTAGAAGGAAGCCAGAGAGGAACACAGGAAGGAGGGAGAGATCCTTTTTAAGCTAGTAGAGGCTAAAGCTGTACTATCCAATATGGCAGCCATGAGCTACATGTGGCTATTTAAACTTTAATTAAATTAAAAATTCAGGTCCTCAGTCACTCTAGCCACATTTCAAGTGCACGTTAGCCTCATGTGGCTGGTGGTTGCTATCCTGGACCACACAGGTACAGAACATTTCCAACACCACAGAAAGTTCTGTCGGACAATGCTGAACTGGAGCATGTTCCTAGACCAATGGAAAACTCAGGAGAGGAAATTAGGAAGGAAAGACATCCTTTGAGAAGGTAAGGGGATGGGTGGAGGCTACATTGAAAGGAGGGGGCCTCTTCAAGGACAGCAGAGAGGACAGGCCCTTGAGGACACAGGCAGGAAGGGGATGGTAATGACAGCCACACTGTGGAAGATGAAGATGTTCCCTGCTGCTCAGCTCCTTGGTCAGTGGAAAGAGAGGCCAGGGATAGGGAAGTGGGGAAAGAGCTCTGAAAAGGGGAGCAAGTCTGCAATAGCTGGCTTGGGCAGTGACAGCACAAACTGGAGAGACCAGACACTTAACACACCCTCACCTAAGAGAAGTGGGAATGAATATCTGAAGGAGGAAGGGCATCTTAAGTGGGGAGATGGTTTGGATTTTCCCTTAAATCCTAGTCGTGTCCACAGAGTAGAGCCATGCCAAAGCTGGTAAGACCACAGGAAGGTCTGCTGCTGGCTACCCTTTCTTGGTTCGTTGCCCTCCATCCTACACAACTTTCAGGAAGGATGACACTGGTTCTATTTTTGGTTAAAATGGCTCCCTCCACCTCCTCTGTCTAAAGTGCTTGACCAGCCCTTAGCTCATCTCAATTTACAACCATGGTTTGTACATTCACATAAATTATAAAAGTAGATATGACAAAAATGGCAGAGGTAGGTAGCAGTTACAATGTAGCCCTTATGAACAAGTAACATACATTTATTGGGTGATATTAAAATGATATGAAAGACATGTTCTGTGTTTAAATCCCCAAACTACTCCTCCTCTCTTCTTTCAGAAACAAAGATTATTTTCTGACATTTTCTTTAAGCTTTTATGAGTAAACATTTTCATTTCCACAGAACTATTTGATCTCAACCACAGTTTCAATATTTGCTTTTGATCACACAAGTGTGCTGGGGTGCAGGACAGAGAGTTAAAATTGCCAGATCCTTTTTATCTTCCATCTTGAGACCTACATTTGCTAACTCCTTCTTCCAGAACATTTTTTTAAAAGTATGAAATCTGAGAACCAAAAAGGTTCCCGCTGCTCAAAGATCAGCTCTTTCATAGTTTGCTGAGGAACTGCCTGAAATGTTACAGAAAAGCTGCCTCCCAGCTAGGAGCCTCTGGGACAGTCAACCCACAGTTGCTGGCATGTGTGAAGTCTCCGGGACTGGCACGAACATCTTAGCAAACTTCCGTGCCCCTTTCTGTCCCCGCAGCCAGCTCATGACTCCCCTTCCCTCTTCAGTCCCCGTGGATAAGGCTCCCTGGGCAAAATGACTGCAAAAACTTACCTGGGGTGAAGCATAGAGAAGCTGCTGACCCCACCGGGACAATCGTGCCCCTTCCACAGCACCCTAGTCTGCCTTGTCCCACCCATTTTCAAGAGGAAAGCAGGAGCTCTGTAACCAGTAAGTCTCTGAGTCCTGCGGACTGGCTGAAGTCTGCAGCAAGGGAGCAGAGACTCGAGGCTCCAGTTCATTCACGCATCCATTCCCTGTGCCCACCACCGCGCACTAAATGTCGCCCTTCTCCAAATGCACATCAGCTAGCTGTGCAACCTGGATGTAGTCCTCTCGGTGCCTCAGTTTCCTCATCTATCAAATGGGCACAACAAGCATTCCCCAGAAAACGACCGGCCCCCACACTGCTGCCGCACCGAGGAACAGATGAGAGGAGTTATTGTCTATTAGCACAGTGGCGCCCTGACTCACAGCGCCTACCGCTCGGAGGGACGCGGAGGAGCGATCAACCTGCTCTGTAAATTACTTTATACACTCAAAGGCATTAGTCACATAGTGAGTATTTCAACTTCCCTCCCGAGCATCTACGGAGCTGTCTGAGACCGGAGCCTCGGAGGTGCCCAAGGACCTCACAGTCCTCGGCTACTGTGCCTGCGCTGAGGGGCATCGCGCTCCGGTGTGTTTCCTTTCCAGGAAAACTTCGATTTCCATTCTGCTTGCAATCTATCCAATCGCGGAGAACGACAAACTGCTTTCCACGCTCGCAAACACAGGCCCGGAGTTGGCCGAGCCGGGAGTGAGGACGCGGAAGGGCCGCGGCCGGACGGGCTCGGGTCCCCGCGCTGTCCCCGCGGCCCCGCCGGCTGCGAGGGGAGAAGGTGCCCTGTAGGGCGCGGGCGCGCGGTCGGGCGGCCCGGACTCCCCGAGGCCAGCTGCGCACTCGCGCCCGCCCCGCCCGGCTTCGAGCCCCGAGCTCGGGGACACTCACCCCATCTCCGGGCTGCTCCGGCGGCCGCTCCCACGGGGCCCCTGGCGCTCGCTCTCCGCCCGCTCGGCAGCCGCTCCCCGCGAGGTACATGCGGCGGCCGAGAGCGCCCGGCTCAGTCCCGGCGCTGTCGCTGCCTCCCGCGGGCTGCACGGCTCCCGCGGGCGGTAGGGCTGGAGGGAGGACGGGGGCTGGACCGGCGGGGCTGGGCGGGGTCCGCCCCCCCCCCCCCCCCCCCCCCCCCCCCCCCCCCCCCCCCCCCCCCCCCCCCCCCCCCCCCCCCCCCCCCCCCCCCTCCCCTGCCCACGCCGCTCCTTTCCCTCCCCCTCCTCCTCCCCGCCTGCCCACTCCCTCTCCCTCCTTTCCCCACGCTTCTCCTCCCCCTTCCCTCGCCGCTCCCCCTCTACTACCCCTCCCTTCCCACCTCTCTCTCCCGCCCCCCACCCTCCCTCGCCCCCTCCTTTTTGTTATGTAACCTCCGTGGCCCCCGAGCCACGGCCAGGAGAGAGGAGCGGGGCGCGGCGATGTGGACAAGGTCCCTGCCCGGCTGCACAGCAGCCGCTCTTCCCTCCCCCCGCCGCCCCCTTCTCCTCCTGGCTGACCCCAACTCTGGAGCTTGGCGCAGGGTCGCCCTGAGCGTCCTGAACATCCCATGAGCTGTACCTAGAGTACCACTCGCAGCTGTGGGCCCTTGGCAGCTGCCTTCAGTTTGTAGATGAGGGAACCCAGACCAGGGAGGGAAGGGATTTCTCCAAGGTCACATACCCAGATTATAGCTCAGGCCTCCAGAAGTGGAGATGGACGCGGCCATGCCCCTCCTTAAAGCTCACCTTCGTCTTTCTGTTCATTGCCTGGCTGGCTTGGGGGCTTTGGGGTAATACCACCCCCCAGAGATTCTGGAAGCCGGCCTGGCAGGGAGAATACTGCACCTGAAGCAGGTGCTTGGGCACCTCACTGGGTAAAAGTGGGATGGGGGCTCCACGTTGAGGGTCATTGCTTTAGGGCTTGGCTCTGTTCTCAGAGCAAGGGAACCTGGGATGGCAAAAGCAGGACTTAGAGAAGCAATTTCTTAATGTCGTCAGTACATACCGACCAAAGAGAGGCTGGCACTGGGACTGACCTAACCTTCATCGCCTCTCTCTGGGCCTCCCACTGGATCATCTTCTGCTGAGGACGCGCTGCCCACAAGAGCCCTGCATCTCAGGACAGTAAAAAGTACAGGGACTGCAGATGGGGCAGGGGCACCACTGAGCCCTGCCCTCATCTCTCTTGGGACCCCAGTTGTCACCTGCTAACCGCCATGTCCTCACAGGAGCACCAGCCCCCTCTAATCTGTGCTTCTCACTGTGGCTAGTAATTTCTCAAATACAAGTCTGCTTGTGTCACTCTTTAGTGGCTTTCTTCCCCGTTCTTAGGATGGAGACCAGGACACTGAACATACCTACCAGGCCCTGCCCAGCCTGGCTTCCACTACCCTCTCTAGCCTCCTCTGCTCCCACCCTCCCGGGATTCCTGCCATTCTTTCGGCCTTTTCATCTGCTATCCTTGCACTCTGCAAAGATTTCCCCTTCTCCTCCCTTCGTCACCCCAACTCACTTGTCTAGCCAATTCCTATCATTCTGCAGACCTCAGTAAACTGTTTTCTTTTAGGAGCTTTGACTAATGCTCCTGTACTTTGTTGTTATTGTTGTACTTAGTGTCATCTGTTTGTGAAATTATTGGCTTAATTTCTTTGAAACACTGCAAACTCTTACAAAGCCATATCACGTTACCTAGAACTGCGCCTGAAGGTCCTCCATAAATATTTGTTCAATGAATGAATAAGCAAACAGGACAGCCATACCAGGACCAAATTGGCTGGGGTCAGTAAGCACAAGTGTCCACTTGGTACACTGCTTGGGGTCAATAGGCACAGGTGTCTGTTTGGTGCCACAGTGAATGAGCCCTTGGTCCTAGAGGAAGCTTATCTATCACGAGCTGAATTCCAAGGACCAGGGCAGAGCCAAGGTGCTTGAGGAATAGGTAATCCTGGCAGAGCCAAGGAGAGAAGTCAGCAGAGGGGGACTGAAGAGCAGGAGCCAGCTCAGGTGGAACAAGGCTACCCAAAGACAAGGCTGTGTCTGGAGGGGCCAGGTGTTGCTCCAAGCCCTGACTCTAGTGTCCTTTTGCTCCTGATCTTTAGGGCACACTCACATTACCTGGGCCAGATGCAAGGGGGAGGCTTAAATAGGTGGGGTGGTGAATCACTCTGGCTTCCACACACAGTTGGCAGGAAGTAGGCCAACCTTGGAGAAGTAAGCCTCCTGAGGTGAAATGGCTGTCACTCTGAGGTGAGAAGGGGTGGATCCCCCTCCTTTCCTCCAACTTCTGGCTGCCACCACTGGAGGAAGTAGCCTCCACTCCTGTCCTCCAACCCTAACTCCAGGCCAGGTCCAGTTGGCCTCTCAGGAGCTTCCCCAGGTGGCTCTGGCCAGCACTCAGCTTTGTCCTCTGTAATAGTCCTTACACTATTTCATCATCTTGGAATCTTCCCAAGAGAGGAACCACTTAATTTGTCTATCAGGGGCCCTCCATGAAGCCACCCTTTTTCTGTGGAAAATCTCCTATCTCCATAGTCTCCATGGCCCCAATTGTCAAGGGAGATGATTCTACTCTTGTTGGCTGGAGGTTGAAACAAAGCCAAGGAGAATCTCTTTAGGCCAAGAGACTTGGCTAAGCAAGAGGAGCTGATGGGGCACAACACTGAAGGTGTGAGAAGGAAGGGTAGTCTTGGGAAAAGGGGAGGCTGAATCCAGGCTCAGTTGGAAGAGTTTGCCTCAGAGAGGGGAGAGATGCTGTCACAGGGACAGAGTCTGGGACTCTAGACCTTGACCAGCTAAATCTCAAAGACTCAGAATGTTTGCCATTCTGTGTGGGATACAGAGGCTTCCAGAATCTGGTCGCCAGGCACAGACAGGTGGTCTGAGGAACCTTCTGATCTAACTGGGACAGATCAGATAACCTCGGGTAGGCTTACCAGAGTGCTACATCCAAGCCAGGAAAATAAGATAATGGAGCAGCCCCACATGTCCTCCTCCTTCTTTATCCTTCACAAATTCTCCAAAGTCTCTTGGGGAGAGAAGCACTATGGACCCTCTGTGTATAACAGGATGACATTCCACATCTCTGGCTTTTGTCTCTAAAAAGCTAGCTCCTGGAGAAATGGCTGATCCTATGTTCGAGACAGGGAATATACAAGATGAGCCTGGAACATCTTGCAATTCTTAAAAGTAAGGAGGTTCTTTAAAAATAAAGGAAGAGGGGCCGGGGATTTAGCTCAGTGGTTCTGATGCCTGCCTCACAATCGCAAGGACCCGAGTTTGATCCCCAGTACCAAAAAAACACAAAACAAAAAAACAAAAAACAAAAAAAACAGAGGAAGAACAGGGATGCAAGAGCCAACTAAAAGAGGTCTCAAAGCTGGAACCATTTGAGCAAAAACACAATGATACATAGGAGTGTAACCCATAACATAAAATAAATATACATGAGTTCATAGTGATACAAATTATCAAGTAAGTAAATAAGTGGAGAAGAGACAGTTCTTTTTTTTTTTTTTGGTACCGGGGATTGAACTCAGGTCCTTGCACTCGCGCAGCAGGCGGCAAAACCACTGAGCTAAATCCCCAGCCCAGGACAGTTCTTTTTTACAAAGAAGTCCAAAGCATATGTGTAGAATGGAGTTTAAACTACCACTATCACCCCTGCCCCTGCCCCTGCCCCTGAGGTCAAGCTGGTCTTAAGTGTTTCAATGATCTGATTTCAAAGAATAGACTTTGAATAGAGAAAATACTACTGTTATAGAAGAAAAACAAGGCAGAAACAAACAAACATGGCAGACACCACTTTAACCAAGAGATCAAGAGACTAAGGTTGGCATTCTCAGCGGTCATGTTGACATCTTGTACTTATCTCAGTAGGACAGGATTTGAAGAGCACTTCACCTGTGTGATTTTTTTTCCCCCAAGAAAACCTATGACCTCAATCTAATTATGAGAACTACCTCAGGCAAACTGAAACTGAGAGACGTTCTACAAAATACCTGACCAGTACTCCCTCAAAACTGTCAAGGTCATCAAAAACAAGATTGAAGAATTGCCACAGACCGGAGGAGACTCAGGAAGTTGACAACCAACTGCAATGTGGCATTCTGGATTGGATCCAGGAACAAAAAGAAGAAAAGCTGATGAAATCCAAATAAAGACTCGAGTTTAGTTAGAAGTACTTGTGTTGAGTCTTTAGTTATAACAAATGCTCCATGGTAATGAGAGACATTAACAAATAAGGGAGACTACATGAGGGGAATATGTGAACCCCCTATGCTACTGTTGCAGTTTTTCTCTAAATCTAACATTAGCCCAAAATATAACACTTATTTAAAACAATAACCTTGGGAACTTCCTGTATCCCCAATCCTCCATATATGTAGTCATAGGCAATATCAGATAGGTGACCATGTAGCACATGAAACGAGAAATTTACATGTGAGACCTGAGGATTTACAAATATTTGCAGGACTCCCAAAGCAAGCTATAGAAATCAATGGTTTTTATTTTTAACTGCAAGTCAGTAAGAAATATATTTCATACTCCAACTGAATACACACTTCAGCTCTTCATCTATAGTTTTATCTATATAAAATGGAAACAAAAGTTATACAAAATAATTCTTATCCTCTCTCTTGCAATGCATTCAGACATTTTCCATTCTGTTCTATTTTTAAAAGCCGTGCTGCTCACAACCTACTAAATTGATTTCAAAACCTGTAATCTATATATTTTTTCTTGCAACAGTAAAATGAGGCTCACCATGTACAAGCATAATGTCATTATTAGTAAGCTCAGATTTCTGGTATTGCTGATGCAGGAACTTCAAACATTTTTTTCTTCTAACCAAAAAAGGTCAGTTCTCTGAAAGATATTATTAAAGCCATTAATCAATGGATAACTATTAGGTATTATTCAGCTATTCAATTACATTTGTGAAGATAGAAACATAAGTTACTCTTTCAACAAATATTGATCACTGACTATGTACTTGGCACCATGGTGGGCATCAAGTATGAAGTGCTCAGCAAAAAACCCAAGTCTTGTCATGAAACTGCAAGATTCTGTGAAGGATATACATGAAATAATCACGAAAATACTCAATTATAAAATGTGGTTTGTGTGAATAAAGGGACCTAATGTAGATTGAGAAGGGTGGCAAGGAATGGCCTCTTTGAAGAAATGTTTAAAGCAGAGGTCTGAAAACTAAGAGGCACTTGTTAGAAGGAGCATGATAGAGGAAGCCTCAGACAGAGGTGGTGGAGAATTGGGCAGGTTTGCAGAACTGAAAGAAGGCGAGAGTGGTTAGAATGCAGCGAGCTTTGCAGGCCCAAGGCTGGGTTAAAAATCTAGGATTTTACTAAATGCAGTGAGAACTCACTAATGCGTTGGGAATGCCACGACCTGGTTTACACTTTTAAAAACCCACTCTGGATCCTGGAAGGAGAAGGAATAAGAAAGGACAAGCATAAAAGTATGGATACCAGGTAAGAGGCCATGGAATACATTCAGATAAAAAATAAGGGTAGAAATAGATTACAGATTAGAGGTGATTTCACAGGTACACTCAATAGGACCTGGTGATGGACTGGGTGTGTATTAGGATATAAAGTTCATACAATAATCTTCATTATAGCTGTACTCTAAAAACTATTAAGACATATGGACAAGAACTGGAAGTATAGAAAATGAAAAGTTTAATTAGGATGGCAGAAGGGGTATAGTGTAAAAGGATGAGCACTGGACTCAGACAGAACTGCATTAAGTTCTGGCTGTGCCACTGACTTTCGGTGACCTTGGACAGTTTTTAACTTCTCTGAACCTCAGTTCTCTCATCTATAAAGTGGGGATACTTCACTGGACATTTAGGAAGTGTGAATAGGATAATAACTGTAAAGTGCTTAGCTCAGTCTCGGATTGTGTGATCTCAACACATTATAGTTATTATTACTAGCTGTAATGGCAGAATGAGGACAAAATTTTTATTCTTTTTCTATGTTTGAAGTAATATTGTCACACAATAGTATTTATATAAGCAACATTTTAAAATTGAGTAGAGCCAGTTTGAGGATTCTGAAATCTAACCTTACTATGAAACAGCTCATGCACTTCCTGCCACATAACACTTTGCTAGCCTGTGTCCAGACCCTTCCATAGCTTCAGAATACCTGAAGTTCAAAGACTGGAGTGTCATTGTAAGACAACCACAGATCGATATGGGACCACTAGCCCCAACCTTCCATTTCCAATCTATCCAAGCACCTGCCCTTAGATAGATGAGCTATAATGGTTTCCTACTGACCTTGGCCTTAGGTATTTCCTAAGTATGTCTGTCTTAAATGCCCTTAGGGATTCTGATACCACTCACTCATTTATTTAATCTTAACACTATCCTGAGCCAGTCTGTGTCCTCAGACAAATTCAATAAAATACGATGTAACAAGGTATGAATAGAGCACCACAAAGCCAGGTGTGGTGGTACACATCTATAATCCCAGAACTCTCAAAGATCCCAAGTCCAAGCCCAACCTGGACAGCTTAGTGATTTAGTGAGACCCTGTCTCAAAATAAAAAGAAAAAATTTTAAGGGCTGGGCATATAGCTCAGTAGAAGGCCCTGGGTTCAATCCCAGTACCACAAACAAACAAAATCCATGGGATACTGACTCTGCAAGGGATCCATGTGAGCTGGGACTAAAAGGCTGTATAAGTGAGAAGACCATCTTCAGGAAACAGACCAGAACATACTGAGGCATGGGGGCACTGGCGGCCATAGCTCTTTCAGGGAGTGAGAAGAATGTCCACATGGTTGGCTCAGTAGTGTATGATGGGAAGTGGCCAAGGAGTAAAGGGACACAGAAAGATCTCAGGGTCTAGTAAGGAGTTTGGACTTGATTCTGAAGACCACAGGGAGCAAGTGAAGGTTTTGGAGTAGGAATATGACATGATAAACTTGAGTCTTAGATCCTGGGCAACAGTGGGGAGAATGGTCTAGGAAGGCAGAGACTGGAGGCAAGAGCAGCTTATTAGGAGGGCCTGATCGAGAAGACCTGTTTCAGCCAGGACCCAGCAAGGATAAGAGGTGTCTCAGTCAGCCTGAGGAAGGGCAGGAGTCTGACTAAAAGGAAAGAGGCAGGGAGCTCCTGCAGTGCGGGGGCCTGGGATGTGACAGTTGCTGAGGGAAGAGTCAGTCATCAATCCCACAACCTTGAGCAGAGGCTAGACTCTACCGGCTGCTTCCCAGCAGAATTCAACTCTAAGAGAAAAAAACAGAAATGATCCTGAGTAGCCCAGCCAGTTGCAAATTCCCCGTGGACATCCAGGTTGTCTGCCTAGATACCCTGAGCTCTCACACCGATTATCATC